ACAGTATTTTATTTACAAAGGTAAAGAGGAGAAAAAAACGGGGTTTTAGAATTGTGTCTTTATTATAACAGACTTCTCGTTATAAGTGGACTCCACTGTAACATACCACATACATGTTTTAAAAAAGGTAAGAACTATACATTATACATGTACCAAATTAAATGACTACGCTTGTATGTATAAACACAAAAATTGAAAACAACACATCAGAACAATGACAAGAAAACAATTAACACACCAACAAATTAAAACACAACATAGAGGAAAATGAAAGAGAACCAGCAATATAAATAGTAGGCTATGCAAAGTACTTATATTCTTCACATGAAAATAAATCAACTCAATGTCAACGAGTGAGTAAGAGACGAAGTGAAGCGAAAGTGAAAATAAACTTTCTTTCTAAAAGTTAAAAGTAAAGAGGTTCGGGTTTTAGAGTTTTTTTATTCCCCATTTTCCCCTGGTTTGTTTTTATTCCCCGACGGTGTGTGCTTTCTTTTTCTTTTTTGTAAAAAATACACAAATCGCGGACCCAAAAATGCCAAAAATCGCTGTCACGATTCGCAGGTCGCGGCCGCGACAAACGCAGATGCCAGACAAAGCAAAAACCTGTTTTTATCGGTAGGAGTCATAAGAGGTTATTCAAGGACGTACCAACGTATTTAAATGGCAAGTGTTGGCGAGATAAAACAGATCTTTTCCTGAGCACCTTGTGAGACTTGAAAGAGACATGAAGATGAAGGTTCTTCTCCTCGTCGCCATTCTTATCTCTGTGTCAGGGGAGGGAGACTTCAGTCCATGCATCAATGACAAATTCCAGTAACATTTACTCGTTATAATGTGGATGTGGCTGCCTGCATGCCTTTACCACCACAAGCTAGAGCTTCAGGCTTAGACTATCATGCAATGCTCTATTATAATATTAATATAGTTAAACTAGTTTTCTTGTGCATATCCAAATTTTTTGTTTCTTGTGTGTGTGTAAGTGTAAGGTTTATTCGCTTTTAATTTAGCATCGACAAAAATTTCTATATCACTTGCATGGGATAGAGCTATATATATATATTACTGAATCTATTGTTAATAATAATATACTATTCCTACCGGAGACAATCACAAGTCATCTCCTACTACTACTACTACTACTACTACTACTACTACTACTACTACTACTACTACTACTACTACTACTACTACTACTACTACTACTACTACTACTACTACTACTATTATTATTGTTATATTTATTGTTATCATTTATTCATGTAATATTATTATTAATATTATCATTATTGTTATTATTATTATCATTATTAATTAATTTATTTATTTACTTATCATTATTTTATCATTATTATTATTATAGTCGTAGTACAATGTAGTAGTATTTTTATCATTTTTATTTATTGTGTTTCGCTAAGGATCTGTTTTCTAGGTTTCTATTGGTATGTGTGTTTCGCTAAGGATCTGTTTTCTAGGTTTCTATTGGTAAATGTGTGTGGTCCTTATATCTCCATCTTTTCTTTATAATATGACCTACATGTAGTTGTGTTACAAGTGCCGTAAAATTCTGATTAAAACTTTTTAAAAAAATTCTGTCCCCCAGCTTGCATGACTAGCCCGGAGGTGGGAGCCAACAAACTCGCTCGTGGTACTATCTGCCAACGTTTTCTAAACTTGGACTGTGTCTGTGCGGGGGGAAAGAGGAAGAGAGACAGCAACGGATGCATCTCCTGTCACTGTCCAGACCCCATATGGGACTTGGGGCACAAATTAATTGGGAAGAAATAAAAAGTTAAATTAGTCCTCTCCGACATGGCATCTATAAAATGAGACACCCCCCCCCCCCGCAAAAAAGGAGAATGCTTGACTTCGACGCTTGGCGTAGATGACGGAATCTTTCTCTATTTCTCTTCCATAACAGACGAAGTACATCATGTTTGTCTTGAACGAGAAGAAAATAAAGGGAATTCACTTAGATTGTGTCTCTTTTCTTGATTGTTTTACTAGATATCACAGGCCACCTTTATGGCTTTTTGTCATCTTTTTAATCACCCCCCCCCTCACAAACCTCCAATTTTCTCTCCTCTCTGTCTGTCTCTCTCTCTCAATCTCTTTCTCTCTCTCTCTCTCTCTCTCTCTCTCTCTCTCTCTCTCTCTCTCTCTCTCCCCCCCCCTATCTCTCTTTGTCAAGTATTAGTGTTTCCATCCTTTGTTGACGAGTGTGCTGGGTGAGCATATTCTGATCTCTTACTTCAGCGAGCCTGTTTCAAAGCGTGTTTCAAAAGGAAAGTATTCCCACAGATGTTCACAAAATGGGAAGGTCAGGTCGGAGAAAAGCGTAGACTACAGATGATTCAATCCGGCACAAGTCTTGGACAGTGTCATTACACATGGAATGGTATTATTGTACAGAAAAAGACACAAGAGGGGTGGAGTGGAACGTGCTCTCCCGTAGAATTAGGCGAATTTAGATGGCCAAATAACGCCAAAAAAAAGCCAAATTATGCAAGTTACCGTAACACCTTTCGCGACATGTTTTGCACTTTTTCAACACAGATTTTCAAGACTTGTATGTTTTAAGTACAGAAAAATTTAAAACAGAACATATCAGTATCAGTAATTTGTAGTGTATTTGGAAAGAAAACAATACACATCTGTAAAAAAAAAAAACAACACAAAAAACAACTAAAAAATATAATCTCTGTAACTTTCAGTTGTAGATCTAGACTAGATCTAGATCTAGATCTGGGAAAGAAAAATGTAAAAAAAAAAAAAAAAAAAGGAGACATCTGGACCTCTGATGCTCGCACATTACTAAAACCAGGAACACCTGTCAAACATGAAACATCAGCAGACGGGAGAACAACAACTTTTGATGGATTGAAAAATTGAACAAGCTCAAGGAACAAAATCCCAACCCACAACCAAGATCTTCTACCAAGGGAAATAACCAACTTTTCACTTAAATAAGACTTGTTACGGTGATTATTTCCCTTTAGTCACATGGCGAGGCGTTAATTAATAAAATTAATTGTTCTGTTTTTAAAAAAATTGGAAAAAAACGTGAAAAAACGCGTGGAATTCAAAATTATGCAAATGTGCAGAATTACGCGAAAAATCGCGGCCGCACAAAATCGCATAATCCTACGGGGACAGAAAGTGGTTGTTTGCACGGGTGAATGTTTTTGATAGGTGTTCCTTAAACAAGGTTTCTTCGACTGTACTGAAAGCTCGTACAAAAGGTTGTGGGTGGTCACTGGTTGGCGGGTGCTCCGGTGTGCTTTGTCGGATCCTTCCTTCCTATCAAACATCTATCGATTTTTGTCTTGTCTCTCCTCCTTCATTCATTACTGTGTATGTCATTCTCTAGCACTACCTTTAATCTTTGGCACTTATAAATGACCTATATTTGTGTTAGAAGTGCCGTAAAACTCTTGCAAATCCTCAAACGAAAGGCTGCTGCCGCTTCTAGAACAGTTACGTCATTCTTCAGAACCCTTGTTTCCGAACTGCAGTTTCTAGATCTCTAACTAAGTCTGATCATTGTGGTACATGACCTTGTCCTAGTGAATATTATTATCTCTCCCTGTCGTTTTATTCTTTATGCAAGAAACATTCTGAAACTATGCAAACTGAGCCCCAAAAATATGAAATTATGCGATTCTGTTGTTGTTTTTTAAAACAAAGAATGATAAAGGAAAATAATCAGAAATTATGCCCCCCAAAAATGATCAAATTTTGCTAAATTATGCGGGGTGCATAAAAAAAAACCTCGGGGACAGTATTATAGAGGTTGGTGTTTTGACTCGGTAGGCCTACACCAACCATACAGGACAGGGTAGAGTAGGCCTAGCCTACATGATTGTATAGATCTATGATTTTGAACATAATAGCATAGCCTATACTATAATTAATGAGGAAAATAATAATGTTAGGTAAATAGATCTGTATACATGTAGTTGACTCAACTTTATTTTAAAAAACAAAAACCAAACAGATTTAAGTGGGTGGTTGGCGGGTGCTCTAGTGTGATTTGCTTCTTCTTTCCTATCAAACATCTATCGTCTTTATCTCCCCTCCTTTTTTGTGTTTATTACTTTCTTGTAACACCTCTAATCTTCGGCATTTATATGACCTTATTGTGTTGCGAGTGCCGTAAAACACTTTAAAAAACTTTAAAAAGACAGATCTAAATTTATTTTTGCGCATTTGATTTGTGTGATGGACATTATTTAGTGAACAATGCTTTTTGCCTCTTTCATGAGGTACATCCGCTATTCTCCATTCTATAAACTTCCGGTTTATTTTAGGCTACTAAGGAATTGTTGGAAAAATCTTTGAGCGGATGTTGTCCAAGTCAGTCAGTCGCCATATTGTTCGCCATTTTGCTCAGTGTAGCGAGTTGCAAAAGCTGTCTTCTGTTTGAAGTGTGTTGACTCACTGCATTTAGTTGGAGACGATTTGCAAGTTATCCAGAACAATTGTTTGGCTGTCGAGTCGCTTTTCTGAAGATTTCACGTCGATCTTTAGTATCTTTGTCTTCCAGAGATCGATTCGTTCCTGTACTGAAGTAGAAGAGTCCTGCCTTCTCTTTGTCTTTGCCGCCGCCATGGGGAATTTTGCGTCACTTCTCCCAGATGAATCAGTAATAGAGTGTATTGACTTGGTGGAAGGTCAGTTCTATGGCCTGGAAGGACCGCACATGTTCTTGGGATTTGAGGTGAGACGTGATGATTTCTTAGTCGGTTTGAATGTTGAAGGAGAGCGGCTGTTGTTTGAGGTAGATATCTCTAGTGAAGGTGAGCCTATTGTCAGTGCTCCTTTGGCTGGAGGGCCAGAATGGTACAGGGACTGGTTGGGGCGGGTGGCTAGGAGAGAAGTGAGGTGGGCTACGGGACCAAGGTGTGGGGAGGTGATAGCTTTATATGACGTTATGTGGAGGAAACCGATGAAGGGATAGGACTAGATCTAGATCTAGATTTTAGATCTAGATGGTGGCTAAGTGATGGACTTCTGTACTGTATTGTATGTGTGGCAAGTGTGTGTTTGTCGGGGTCCGTGCGTTGTTTAAGTTGTATTCTATTATTCTATCGATGTGTGTATGGTTTTAGGATTTTTGTATTTTTGGTTTTTGCCCACGTAGAGTCAGACTGTTCACTTTAATAGGTTTTGTGGGGATCTCTCTCTCTCTCTCTCTCTCTCTCTCTCTCTCTCTCTCTCTCTCTCTCTCAGGGAATTGGCTTGTCCATGACTTGGATTGGAACCTGCAGACATTTTTTTCTTTGTTTTTATGTTGTAGATATAAAAAGTCAATGTATGGATGAGTGTGTTGTTAATGTGTTCATCGTCTTAAAATAGTTAAATGTTTAGAGTTTATAATTTATTAGATAAAGATAAAGGTAAGACGCCATAGTACAACCAGTAATTTGTGGTAGGAAGTGCGCCAGTCTCAATAATAGGTTTCACCTTCTTTACAACCCACTAACACCGACCCTTTGTTTGTCTGTTGTCATATATATAATATAGATCTATAGCCAGTCAAGTCGGTGTATGTCATCGCTGATCATTAGTTTTATTTTCCGTTAGTTTTATTAGTTGTAGCAAGGGGAAAAGACAATTAATATTTTTAGGGGAAGAGGAGGGAGAATAAGACAGCTGTAGGAATTGATAATGGAGGATATCCATAACGAGCGACCACAAGTATGAGACAGAGTAGAATACAGAGTTAGTTACGAAAGTCCTTCCATTGATAATGAGGAGAGCTGAGATAGATTTAACAACTGGGAGTTGTGTTGTTTTTTGTTTTCGATTTAATTTATAAAGTTGTTTGTGGGGCTCGTGCTTTGAAAGGCATGGGGTGGTGGGGCTATTCAGTCTGAAGAGGAAACCGGGTATGAGGGGTTGGGTGTCAAAGGGGAAATGACGCTCAATCCCTCATAGTCGGAGAAGTCGAAGACGGTAGTCTCAGAAAGCCAGGTAACAACGATAGCGACAGCTCAGTTTTTGGGCAGGGCAATTTTTGAAGGAGCTGAGGGGAGTTGGTGGAACACATCCACGAGCTACATATATGAAATTGAATATTTTATATTTTTTTGAGTAGTTGATATGAAAAAGGTAGAACTATTTTAAGGGTGTGGGCTGTTGTGGCTGAAAGTCCAATTGTTATCAAATATGAGAGTTCAGGGGTCAAGGGGGAACTGACCTTTGACCTTTCATATTGGGTTTCAGTTTTGGAAGGCAAGGGAATCCAGAATGCCTGTATTCGGTAAGAAGGGGTATGGTAGTGGGCCCATCTTTTTCGTTTTAAATGATAGCAGTTTAAAATTTTGTGTAAAGGTTTGATGATTGGGATTTTCGGTTTACTTGGCTGGCCATAGTGTAGAGACAAATGTATATATATGTGTGTGCTGTTGTTGTTTTCCAAGGCCCATGGCCCTAGAGTAGATCCCCATTAACGTAGTCACCAGTAGATGAGACTGAGCGCACATATTTCGGCCTATTTTTTTGTCTGGTGACGATTAACTAAATTTGGTTTGCTCCACTAGGGAGTGGGAATGTGGGAAAGTGCCCGCCTCGTGACTCTTTGGGAGCAGAGGATGTTAGGATATAAAATACTTTAAGCTGACAATAATATTATGGTACTGTCGTAGTTTGAGTTCTGTGTGTTTGCGATTTTGTGCTGTCTAGCTTTTGTAAGGTGTTGTTTGCGTTGTGTTTACTGTTATTTTGTTCTTAGTACTGTGTACCTACTAACTTTCTTCCCCTGGTTGTACTGATTATTATTCATGATGGCGTTCTTATAATAATAGATTCTAGATCTATGCTAGGAACGGGCACGGGACAAAATTATAGATTAAAAAATTATTTTGCTTCAATGATTGGCAGCGACCAGTAAAGTAGACAAGCTTCATTTCAACAGTTGTTTGCTTATTTCATGCTCAGTCATCTCATAGCTGCGCCTGTTGGCAAAGTACTCAAAATTATCATCAGGTATCTTCTGTTTGCCTACAACTGCTCTGAGCAAGAGAACGCCTCTTTGCCAACGTCAGCTTACCTGTTTCTCCAGCAGCTGTGGTAACTTTGGACTTGCATTAAATACCAAAAGAGATGAAAATAGTGTTGTAACCACCTCTCGGAGAGCTTCGTATTTGCATAAAAGTGTACCTCTCCAGAGTCTGCGGTCTCATATTTTGTTCATGTCAGAGAGAGTCAAGTGCAGTAGAAAATTTCACCTACCTTTGCCTTAGGAGCAGACTGTCTCAACAAACAGCCAATACAGACACAGAGATCAGTAACGGTTGCTAGAGCCGGTGCAGCGTTCAGACGACTCGAAGGAAAAACATCTGAGAGCACAGAGTAGAGACCTCAGTCTCAGCACAAAGCTGAAGGTTTAAGACAGCGTAGTGATCTTTGTCATCGTTTTCCTCCACGTCAGTTTCATGCCTTGCACTTTTTGGCCGTCTTACAACACTGTTTCGTCAAGTTTATAAAGAGATTCAGATATGTACAGGATGGAAGGTTACACAGTTTGTTTTTGAAACAGTGCAGATCTGTTTGCTATGTTGAATAGATCTTGGAACTTGGAACAGTTTGAGTGTTGCTATATTTTGTGAGCTATGCTTTGTTTGTAAAATGAGAAGCTTTGTCCAAGTTGAGATGCAGAAATAATTCAGTGTCAAACTTCTTCGGAAGCAAGATTCTAAGAAAAGAAACTCCAGTTTGGGACAATTTAAGTGAACAAAATTTGCCTTCAGACTCTAGGTTGCCTTTGCCGTTGTTAGTTTTGTTTAACATTTGGCACCTTAGAAGTTTTTTTTGTTGTGATTGATTTCATAGATCTTTTCACTGTGTAAAACGTCCACCTGAAAACAGGCATTCCACCAGAGGACGGAGAGACACGTTGGACCGGCAAGAGAGCACGAGTCACTGGAGAGCCCGTCATGAAGCCGGAAGACGTGGCCACTCAGCAGACCTAAGCCAAGACTGGCCTGAGCTGGATTTCCTGCAGAGACTGCCACAGTTCCCCTTCCCCATCCCCTCCCTTGCAGAAGTTGGAAGTACTGGGCCTCATCGTGGCGCAAGGGTGAACACCCTGTTCAAACCACAAGACACCTGTCCTGCTGAAACAGGAGCAGACTGTGTGGAGAGGTTTGAGCTGGGTGGCCAACACAGTACTACACTCACCAGTGTGAAGGATGAATGGAGAGTCTATAGGCAAGTGTGCAAAATGTGGGCTGTTGGATGTAGTTTGTTGGTGTATTGAATGAAAGTCCGAACTTGAACTTCTTGTGTTTTTTAACCCTTCCAGCCCCATGGGCGTATATTTTCAGCAGCACTTGCACCTCCCACGGTCCCAAGAGCATATATACTGTTTTGGGGGGTACCGAATTTGCGCATTTTCGGAAAACGCGAACCTAATTAAACTTTAATTTTCATATTTGTACATTTACCATTAAACATTGTTATATGTTATTATCTAAACCCTCATTACAAAGATACTACATCACTTTTTAGAATGCATGCCTTCCCTCTCTCTTTGTTTCTTTCTCTCTCCCTCTCTCTGCCTCTCTCTCTCTCTCTCTCTCTCTCTCTCTCTCTCTCTCTCTCTCTCTCTGTGTGTGTGTGTCTCTGTCTCTCTTTCCCTCTCTCTTTCTCTTGAGAAAGAGGGAAAGAGAACGAGAGAGGAAGAGAGAGAGCGAGAGAGGGGGAGAGATAGCGCGCGCGAGAAAGAGAGAGAGTGAAAGAGAGAGAAAGAGAGAGAGAGAGAGAGAGAGAGAGAGAGAGAGAGAGAGAGAGAGAGAGGCAGAGAGAGGGAGAGAGAAAGAAACAAAGAGAGAGGGAACGGGGGAAGGAGAGGAGAGACAGACATACAATTAGACCGAGAGACATACACACACACTCACAAACACACACACACAAACACACCTGTCTCC